ATTAATTTAAAATTTTATTTATATATATATATATATATATATATATAAATAAACTGTATATATTGCAAGAAATTAAGAAAACTGGCAGTGAGGTGTGCTTAACTTTCAGAAATAATATGTAAATAAATAAATACATAATTAAATGAATATTGTTCCTAAAAGTAGGCTTTTTAAACAGCGGCACTAACTTACTCTTATCTCTCTAGCTGGTCTCCTCTTGCGGTGGTCACGGGCTGCATTAGCGTTATGGATCTGTACCCCTAGCAGGCGTTCAGTGCTGTGTTAATTCAGCGGCTCTAATGTGGTCAGGCACTGCTGACCCCACTGGTCAGAAAGAGTGGCCACTTTCATTGAACCCTCTGTGTTTGCGGCTCAGAGACGCACCCTCGCTCTCTGCTCCCGAAACAGCTTAATAACACACCACAACTGACATCTGAGGTTGGCAACCATCTAGACCACGAAAGACTGTTCGCTGTTTAATATTAACACACACTGCTGTACAGGTATGTTTACACCCAAATAAAGAATACAAGGAGACATCGAAACCAACACTTACTCACAAAAATGCACTGTACTATTTGGGAACACAGACACACACAGTGGCTCTATTCCCCAGTATCATCTGTGAATGAATCATGGGTCTTTTAAAGCCGTCGGTGCTCCGAAAATAGGTGTCACCGTCCGAATACTCCATCCCAACATAGAATAATATCAAAACCATTACACACATTTACCGATTTAGCAATAATAGTATGCAATTATCAACCTCCAAGCTCTAATACAGTAAGAAAAACTCCAGGAACTAACAGATTAACTAATCTGTTTTACTTGGCACACGTTCTAAAGACTGCTCAGCCTGGATTTTACTGCTGTAAATAACACGGTATAAAGCAGACACAAAAGAGAGACTATCTCATCTCGTATCACCTCCTCAAATACTTTCCGTCGCTATCAAACACCGCAAAAGAAATGCTTTTCTACCAGAGTTGTGATTTGCAGTCTAGCATGAAATTATACACAGACGATAAATCAATAAAACAGACAGCGCCTCTTTCTGTTGTATTCTACGCTGGTTTCATACACAAAGAAACACGCAGCTCTTGATAAAGTACTTTATATAAAACACACCATTTGAGTTCATGCAGAAAATTGTCATGCAAAGAGGTTGGTTACCAGTTCAAAATAATGTTATCATTCGTCGTACGTCGTACAGCTCTCTTAACGCTCTTTTTGATAGTCATTCAGGGGAATTCTGGGTACTCACGTCTTGGTTCTCGAGGTCCGTCCACGGTGACTTTAATAGCACGGTGGTATGTGGCGACCTGGGGTGGTCCAGTGAGCACAGTGATGGTCAAAGAGAAGCTCTTTCCTGAGAAGACACAAGATAAAACGTCAAATTTTCTGACCACACTGTCAACATATTGAGTCAAAACCGGAAAGTATTCGTGGTTTGAAACAGTCACAAATATTATGCAGCCAGTATTTTAGCAACATGTTTATGACAAAATAATCTTCACATAATATTTGCATACTTGATATTTTCTAAATTCATTCTAGAAAGTGCCCTATGACACTATCATTTAAACTCTCAGAAAAAAAAGGTACAATACTGTGATGGTTCCCAATTTGAAAGGTACTAATATGTACACTTTAGATATTAAAATGTATATACTTTTAAAGTAGGCTACTAATATGTACTTTTAAAGCACCAACATGTACCTTTAAGGTAATAATATGTACCATTTAGTGGTAAATAAGGTGCAGAAATTTACCTTTTAGCTTTTGTACCTTAGGCTTCCGCTCCACTGACAGCTTTATAGCTTTTTTCTTTTTAGTTTTTTCGGTTGTGAAAAATTACTACATTACATAAAGTTGATTATACACCAGAAAAGCCCTCAGGTAAAACAGAAACTCCCTCTGGCTGCATGAAGTAAAGATTCATGCACAATCCCAGTGAGGTGGGTCACATACAGCTGGGAGAAATGAATGCGTTTCCTCTGAAAAGAGACAAAACTACTGCTTTGATGCGCTTTCAAATCCGTTTATGATGTGGATTAGTCAGACAATGTGTTCCAGATTGTTCCCGGGACTCCGCTGTGTCTGTGTGCATGTGTGTGTGTGTGTGTGTGTGTGTGTGATCTATAAATGCAATGAAGCTGCGCTTTGAGGGGGAGAAAGCCGTGGCTTGTATGAGGGCTATGAGGGTGGGGTAATTGACTGCAGAAATGAAAGGTACTTTTAATTCGCACACTGCAGCGCTTTCCACTCATTTAAAGTGTAACATTTACAGGAAAAATGTGAGTGTGAGGAGCGAGGCCAAGAGGAAAAAGACGAGAAGGAAACGCTTGTGAAAGAATGTGAGCTATGTAAGAGGTAGGGTGTTTTTAGGTGTGTAAACAAGATGTTTTTTAAACCTCAAATCGTTTAAGAAAAAAAATCTGCTGTGGGGAAATTATTTCTCTGGCGCAATTAATTGAAGCATGCTGTACTGTACTGTATTTTTTTTTCGATCTCCACTGAGCAATGTTTGAGCTTAACAATTTATACATTTTAATTTATATGTGAATTGCATTAAAAAAAATTTTTTTTTTTTTTTGTCATAATGTATAAATATGTTGTTGGATTTCCACCACATGCATGCATCTGACCACAGACAGAAAGACAGAAAGACAGATTGATAGATGTGGCACCTCTGCCGCTCCTGCCCACGAAGCGCAGGTCGTTGAATCGCGCCACCTGGTTCTTCATGACGGCAGACGCGTTTCTCAGCTCCGCGGAATAATTCTCATCATTCCCCGCCATCACCGTGACCAGAGTCCCGTCAGGAACATCACCCAGAGCCACCACCTGATAAACACACAGATCAACCCAACAAACCCAATCAACAACACACACAGACCCAACAAACCCCAAACCTGGGTTGCAACCCTCACAGTAATCATTGCAATATAAGCTCGCATACATGCTTATAATACATTGACGATTACTGTTAATATAATTCTATTTATATGCAAATAAAATATGTATGATTAGCTCCGCGGATACATCGTTTCCTTAAATATAATCAATTGTAGCAATTTTATTTAAATTACGTTTGCTGCAAGTGCACGGTTGTGATTTGTATATATGCTAAATATAAAAATAAACACAATTTAGATATGAATAATAATTCTATATAGCCTAAAGTAATTCTTTCGCAAACAAAACATTATAACTGAATGTCGTTGTCGCGATGATCAATATAATTGCTATTTTCCGATTAAATAATAATAATAATAATAATAGGCTGTTGATAATAATAATAATAATAATAGAAATAAAGGACCGTACAAGGTGTTGTCGAATTGTCAGGGTTTTGTTTTTATCCTCTGCTCATATTATCAGTCAAGCAGAAATATGTTACGATGATATCAGAAAAAACAAATATGCAAGTGTTTGAATTATTCAGTGACTTTTAGGTGAGTGGATTTTGTTAAGGACTTTTTGCCTGTAACGTAATTTCCAGAACACGAACGGCTGAGCTTTTGCGATTTGAGTTTTTGACGACCCTAGTCAACCAAATCTTACTCTATCTGTGAAAACACATTTTGTTAAGCACGCGTTATACGTAAATCTGTAAGAAAAGTGATCAATAATGACAGTACTTACAGTTTGTTTGTGTCATTTGTAATGGATTCTAACGGAAAAGGCTCGCGCAGCCTACCGTTGCTATGGTTATCTCTTCAAGAGAGCGCGAGTTCTGTAAACACTAGTTCTGACTGACTTGTGATTTAACTGACAACGCCATGAAATAAGTCATATTAGGCGACATAAATTAATGTTTTATTTACGTTACCTTAAAAGCCACAGGCAGAGTTTTGTTGCACCTCCAGTGTGACGGCAGGACCGAGCAGAGAAAGTTGGGGCTGTCGGAGCGCACCAGCTCTCCGGCGTGATCCGCCAGCACGTCCACCATAGTGCGGCTCTCCAACGGCCGGCCGGCCCGATGCGGACCCGGTGCGCTCATGCTCGGGCTCTCATTCACTTTAGCGCACGGGAACGAGGCGGAGGGCGGCGTGAACCGTCTGCTCGTGCTTGGGTCTACGGGAATATGCATCACAACAGATTACAAATGAGACCCCGTGAAGAGCTCAGGCACCCAAAGGGGTAAGTACAGAAAGTCCGTGACAGCGAACCCGGAAAAACTCCTCCGTGACAGTTTACTTGGCGTTACAATGCAGAAGCGTTAAAGTGCGCTTGAGTTTCTCACTGACTTCAGCAAAAAAAAAAAACAAGAAACCGCAAGCACACATACGCGCTTTCACGCTCTCGTGCAGCACGACGAAAGGAATTTGGAGTGAAAACACAAAACTGATACAAGTACGGGTCTCAAAGCATATGAAACTATTATTCTAAAGCTACTTATTAAACCGCATTTATTCCAGCAGGTGTGTGCTGCTCCTAGATGTCAGTTTTACTTTCAGTCAGAGCGATACTTTCCGTCCTATCAGTCCAAAGCGTCTGAAAATAAAGTCCACACAAATTAATCCCACAGTTTCAGAAGAATTTCTGCAGTAAAGTCCGGGTTAGTTGTCAAATGTTCTGTCTCCAATTGAATGTTTAAGCGTAAAAGTGAGTTTATACTATAAAAAGGTTCTCCGGTAGTCACACGTACGTGCACGCAAAAGCTGCGCTCTGCGCTCTGCTGACCAGCGTTATTACTCATCTCATTATAGCCTGGAGTGCGCTGAGCGCTCCGCCAATCAGCGATCAGGGCCGGGTTTAATCGACCAATCCGCGAACAGGGCTGGGTTTGATGCGTCCATCAAACGCGTCGAAGCAAAACTGAAAGCTTCTCTATTATCAGCCGAGCAATCAATAAATATTTCAATCCTCTCCTCACAAGTTATGGCACATAATGGCTTAAGGTTTGGAGTCTGCCAGGTGTAACCTTTAAAAACCACAGACAAAAATGTAAATATCTTTTGTTAAAGTTATTCACGTCTGTTTGCCAGTTTAGCCTATCTTTATATCATTTAAAAAAAAAATGAATAATGTATTGAGCAATCCAGAAACAGTTCATTAACATTATTTGTTAATACAAAAATATCCCTTAAAAAGAAATGTTAAAAACAGTAGCAATAACAATAATCAAACAACGTTCAAACTGAAGGCTAATAGCATTTAAACAAGTATTTTCTGCACATGAAAAACTGAAAGCGTTGAGAAATTTCTGATCTATCGCCCATGCATCATAACCTTTAAAAACCACAGACAAAAATGTAAATATCTTTTGTTAAAGTTATTCACGTCTGTTTGCCAGTTTAGCCTATCTTTATATCATTTAAAAAAAAAAATGAATAATGTATTGAGCAATCCAGAAACAGTTCATTAACATTATTTGTTAATACAAAAATATCCCTTAAAAAGAAATGTTAAAAACAGTAGCAATAACAATAATCAAACAACGTTCAAACTGAAGGCTAATAGCATTTAAACAAGTATTTTCTGCACATGAAAAACTGAAAGCGTTGAGAAATTTCTGATCTATCGCCCATGCATCTTGTGCTAAATTAATTTTCGAATAACTAATGGTTTTGCTACATCATAACAGAACAACAATAATTATGATAATGGATTTTATAAGTCTCATCCATGGTATTTAATTAGAATCTAATGAGTTCTTGTGTGGTTGACACACTGTCACCACTAGCAGGCGCATTTGTCGTTTAAAAACCTTCGCAAAGCGAATTAAAGCACATTAAACTAACACTGAATGGGAGGGGAAAAGACAGAGAGAGGGAGACAGACTGAAAGAAGAGGGGGGGGGAAACAGAAATAAAGCGATTCTCGCAGTTATACAGGTCATTTGAATTAATTCTTTTTTTTTCTTCTTTTCATGGTTATTATAGCCTATTGATGATACATAAAATGTCCTCACGCGCCCTAAAACGGACGCTAAGAACACGACAAAGAAGCAAATTAATTAATTGACTGATTAATAAATCATAAATGCATTGTTTACGGTGAGTGAACGGAGAAAAGCAGATGCCTTCTCTCTCTACAAATGCCCTAACTGCTAAAATAATGATGTATTCATAATATTTACATACATTTATATATTATATAAAAATGTGCATTTTTAAATACTGAGTTAAGTTGAATAATTTTACTCTGCAAGACTAAAGCATTTGGGCTAAAACAGAAATAAAGCGATTCTCGCAGTTATACAGGTCATTTGAATGAATTCTTTTTTTTTCTTCTTTTCATGGTTATTATAGCCTATCGATGATACATAAAATGTCCTCACGCGCCCTAAAACGGACGCTAAGAACACGACAAAGAAGCAAATTAATTAATTGACTGATTAACAAATCATAAATGCATTGTTTACGGTGAGTGAACGGAGAAAAGCAGATGCCTTCTCTCTCTACAAATGCCCTAACTGCTAAAATAATGATGTATTCATAATATTTACATACATTTATATATTATATAAAAATGTGCATTTTTAAATACTGAGTTAAGTTGAATAATTTTACTCTGCAAGACTAAAGCATTTGGGCTAAATACAGTCAGAAAGAACAGATCGTTTTCTTCAATTCGCAACACAAATCGAATAATTATTATAATCATAATTATTATTATATTATTAAATGTTTTCTATATAAAATAATATAATTTATTACAATTTAACGTCTCATACTTCTTTAGAGCCAACAGAAATGCCTTTACAACAGTAATTTACATTATTCATTAATATAATTTCATGCATTTTTTTCTGCCTGTATTCGTTCTTGTATTGGCTCATTCTGTGATGGAAAGAGGGAGAGTGTGTTTCAGTGTTATATATGTGCAGTGGGCTTGAGGTTTAACTCGTGTTGGCAGGATTCGTGCCAGGAATCTGCAGCTCACATGCTAAAGATGAGCTCAGTCTGAAACCAGCGTTCGGTTACATGTAGAGAACTTCACATTAAAGCAAACAAAAACAAAACAAACGCACGTGTGCTTAATCATTAGAATTGGCATACAATAAAAGACAACAGCCATGTAAACATAATGATAATAATAATAATCAAACTTATTAATATGATGATCATTATTAGCTATTATTAGGCTATTCCACGAAATCCTCAAAACGCCAAGAATCCGTCTGTTATTTTTTTTTCTGTTATCGTAGCATTTTTTGCTGTTAAACCACTGATGTTTATTTTCACCTCCATGTGAGGAAATAATGTGAATATAGCCTAGAAGGGAAGTCAAAGACTCACCCACACCGATGGTCTAAGAGTGCAAAAATATGCACATTATCCTACATCTCCAGATCATTAGCCTGTTTCATCAACATCTGCTCGAAAGATCTATTATTGCGAATGTGTCTTCCTCTTTTCACGCCTTCCATCCGCCCGTTGCATCGCGTTGCATTGAGTAACTGTTGTCGAAATAGATGCACATGTTGACATCTGTTGCACACAGCCTAAAGCCTTTAAATAAAGCTGGATGTTTTGATTATTCACACATATGCAATAATTGAGTCACACTTTACATTACAGTGTGCCTGTTATACTACTACTAGCAAACACGAATCACTTCTACTAAACCATAAGAATGCATTTAAAAGAAGTGCATTGCTGCATCATTTTGTGGCGCGCTTGTTCTTCTTATTGATATAGTAATAGCAACATATAATATATGTTACATACATGTTGTAGCATAATGTGTGCAATATAGTTATGTACGGGCCTGATATGTGTAGATACATTTCAAACTTCTTCTAAATGTCTACATGCAAATATAAAGGTATTTTTGGGACGCAATCTGTCCAAGTTCGTCTCGCGCAGCGAAAATGATCCTCTGGCGCCACTAGAAAAAAAAAATCCTATATAGCCTACTTTATATATATATATATATAAGAATAAACAACATGAATTGTTATCCTGAACACGAACGTGCTAAGAAACCTCCCCAAGCACAAGCTGGTCAGTGGTCGTTGTGAATGCATATATCGGTGATATTTCAGCATCTGTTCATTATTAATACTTGACCGCACGCGCTCAGACTGACTCCGTGCGCCTGTCATAGTCAGACTCCGCGCGCAGTTTCTACGGTTACAGTTTCGCTGCAACGTGCCCTCCTTAATGACGCGCGTCCCTCTGATATGTGATCTGAGAGAGGAGCGCAGCTTACAGCCCGCGTCAAATACACATCCAGTAATCACGCGCTGAGAAATGATGTGAGCGGTTACAAAGACGCACGAGCCCTCCAAAACAGCCTGAAGTACAAACATTGAAAACAATTCCAGAGACAGACTCAGAGAGCACCAACACATGCCATCATTCTTTAAGGGTACACTGAGGTTAAATGCCTCGAGGAGTAAAAGACCCTTTTGATTTGATAATATTTTCTCCCAAAATACTAAATAGCAACAACAACCACAACAGCTATTTCCTAAACTTGTTTGTCACTCTGTATTGCACAAGCATCATGAAGTCATGGCATGCAACGTCTAAATGTTGATTTTGAGGTAACTTGATCTGTCTAGTACTAAAACATGTGGCAGATTCATGTAGCTAAGGAGAATCCCTGAAAATATCATGCATTTTGAGACAAAAAAGAAATATTTTATCTGCACACTGCAGCAAAAGGGAATCCCCTTGTGCATTTACAGAAAGAAAAAAAGCTTAGGTAAGTTGTTCATTTGTGAACGTTCTCTCTTAATGACTTGAAATTGCAAAAAAAATGCAACGTATTACAAAAAAACTATACATTTTAAAATGCAGTTAAAATTTTTTAAAAGTAAATGGTATGAAAGATTAAATCTTATGATTCAAGTAAAACCCCATATACTTTATTTTAGATAAGTATGATGTAATTAACAATGAAATTCTTCTAAATAGTACATTTTAAAACATATATTAAATTAATTGTCCTTGCAGAATCTAAAGGCTCCACTTGGGAGGGAGAGAAAAAAAACACTGTGGCCAAAAGCACCACTAAAAAGCATTTGGTTGGCACAGGATCGATACAGTATGCCTGAACAGCAACAAATTGCTTTCCATAATTGAGAAGGAAAAGATTTATTGCAAAGGATGTGCAAAGTG